TCATCTTCTTTGTCTTGTTCTTGTTTTCTTTGTTTTCTTGTGAGTTTGAGAGAAGGCCGCTTAGTTCTCTAACGGAATTGAGAGTTAAGACCGCACGACCGAGAGTAAGGCCGTGACATTACCCTTAGACAGTCGATAGTTCTTATTATTCTTCTTCTTCCTTCTGTTTCAAAATTTCACTTAGAGTGGAAATTTTGATTTCTTACCCCAAGAATAAAAGTGGGTGAAAGGTCATGAAAACCTATTATAAATAGTATTTATAGGCTTCTCACTAGGGCTTTCTTCTCCCAAACCGGTTTCTTGTGTTCGTCCTAAATTTAGCGTTAGGACTAATACTGAAGAAGCCGACATGACATTCTTGTATCAATCATAACAATCGGTGATTTGGATGCATAAACCGCGTAATGAAATCCGTGCTCCTCCCATGCCACTTTATTGGGTGAAAATTATCATTCATCACTAAACTTGCTCTATTAATTCATGCTTACCACTAAACTCGTTTTTAATTCAACTAAACCACTGAACTTGATAAAAAAAGGTCACCATCCATCACTTTCATTTCAACTTAACGGAAAATCATCTTAACGGTGCTGATGAAGCACTAACTGTGATGATGTGGCGACACTTAATTCATATCATTCCACGTAAGGAATTTATTATTATTTAATATAACTCTATCCAATAAAGAAAAAATTCGGAACCCTTATTATTTGTTTTCCCCTATCAATTAAGCTCTACACCCCGCGCTGTTCTTCTTCCCCCAAAAAGCTGCTGTTCATCTTCCCCCCAAAAGCCATCTAAGCGAGACCAGGAAAATCATTGATTATTCTTCTCGTCTACACCGCAATGCCGCCGGACAAACCAGGAAAAAGAAGCAATAGAGGGAATCTTGATCATGGTACGTTTCCGCTGTGGAGCTCTATATTCTTAGGGTTTTGTGTGGATATATATATATATATATAGGTGGCTACTTCGGCGCACTCACTTTTTTGGGTGCACTCAGTGCACCCACTCTAAAAGTGTCCATATTACATCAAATTTTGAACTTTAATTAGTACTCTCAATCTAATATGATGATATGACATAGAATCATAACAAATCAATCAATTACCCTAACCCCTTAACCTTCAATTTTGAATCCCAATCCAAAATCCCAAATTGTAAACCTAAACCCTAACCCTAAATCCCTAAATCCTAAATCCTTCAAATTAAAGTAAATTTTGGATGAATTTTTTTCAAATTCATGTGCTTCTTGTTCATAATATCATAAGCAACAATTGATACCGTTTTGACATGAATCGCATGGTTAGAATGGCAATTATGAGGCGGGTGCACTGAGTGCACCCAAAAAAGTGGGTGCACCGAATACGCGACCATATATATATATGGGTTTATGTATGTCAGTATGTGGGATGGAAGGGGGTCTGCTGTCTCTAGGGGAAGAAGCGAGATAAAGAAAGAAAAGCTAAAAGAGAAGGAAAATGGGGTTTGCCATGGACCATCTAAAGTGATACTGTGTGTGATAGTGATAGGTCGATTTTGTTTGTGTGAGAGTAAGAGCATCTCCAATGGTGCAAATGGAGGGAATTGCAAGCTGAGGTGGCAGCCATGTGCAATTGAAAAAGTGGATGGCATTGATGCAAGACCACTTTCAAGGGATGAAAATTTGCACACCATGAAAATCTGACATGCAATTGCAAGTGGGTCCTTTGTTTGTTTTTGTTTTTCTTTCTTCTTTTCCCAACCATTTGTGTGGTATTAAAATGTAAGTGGGACCCAGAAGTGCAATTGCATTGGAATGGCATTGATGTAGCTAGTATGAAATTGATGAGTGAAGTAATTGCTAGAGTTGCTTAGGTGGCAGTAGGGACCACACTTGAAAGTGAAGAAGAATTGCATTGTTGGAGATGCTCTAATAGTAGTAGTAGCAGCAGCAGCAAGAGAATAGAGTTTGGCATATGGACCACATTTAATCTTTTATATATTATGCTCTTTTGTCTTCTTGTATGGTTTTGTCTCTAGTAACAACAAGGCAACTATTATTTTTTTGTAGATGTTAGTGACAATTTTATTGGAAGTAGGAACATGACACGGAACTCAAAGAAATATACAAGGAGTGACGCATTATCTGAAAGTAGTGATGGGAGTTCTGATTTTGAGGTATGTTTTGAGGATAGTGATTACGATTTGATGGATAAGGAAGATGATTTGCTATATGATAATTATGTTAATGAAGAAGTAGAAGCTGGAAATGGATTTGATTTTCAAATGGAAGGTGGTTCAAATCAACAGTCACCTATAGCTTATGATGATGATATTGTTTATGATGGTGATGGGGAGCTTACTCATGTGGTTGAGGATGTAAGTGAAATGAAAGAGGGATTTCCTGAGTTCAATGCAGAAGTAAATATGAATGATCCAGTATTTTTTGAAGGTCTCAAATTTAAATCTTTTGATGAATTCAAGGAGGCAGTGAAGCATTATGCAATAAGACATAAAAGAAACATTCGATTTAAGCATAATGACAAGTTGAGGGTCCATGCTGTTTGTCAAGATGGTTGTCCATGGGAAACACATAAGCGTTTTAAAAATGTTTTTTAAATAATGGGTTTTTTTGTGATAGGAGAGTGGCATTTGATTTCCGAACTAGGAGGCACTTTTGGACAAATTACAACGCTTGGATATTGCTCAATTGAACGCTGAGTCGAAGTCGCAACCTTTATTTCAAGGGATGCCCCAAATTGTGCAAGTTTTAGTGCCCCAAACTCTACTGCAAATCTTTTGTAGACTTGATGATGTGTGTGATTTCATTGTGGAATTGGAGGGATAGATTTGAGTTACAATTTCATGAATAGTACAATTTTATGAGTAGTGACTGCATAATATTGTATGGGTTCTTTTGAGTATTTTTTTTTTTCAAGAAGAATTATGGTCTACAAAATAGGTCTTTCAAATTAGAAAATCTAATTACGGTAAAGCAAATATCTTTGGGTACTAGGTGAAGTCAGTATATAATTTTGAATTTAAACGATTATAAACAAATGTGTTGTGGCCCAATTGGTTTAAATGATGGTGTACTTTCCTTGTGTTAAAGAGTTCCCAATGGTCACAGGTTCGGAACCTGCTACCTACCGATTATTTTCCAGGTATAACTTTTTAATTTAGGTTAAACCTGGTAGTGACATGGCAGATTACATGTCAAGCTAGGAGGAATCTGACGTTGCCATGTCAGCGACGTTAGTGCTTTATCAGCATCGTTAGGCATCTGTGTAAGTGATGGATGGTGATTTTTTTTTATCCAGTTTAGTGGTTTAGTTGAATTAAAAATGAGTTCAGTGGTAAACTTGAATTAATAGAGCAAGTACAGTGACCCACTATGCTTTTTACTCCCACTTTATTAGTCTCTTTAGGGCCTTGAGATGCAAGCAAGTAAATATCGAGTATTTAATTGCTATAACAACCAGAAAGTGAGTGCAGACTACCAAGAAAAATCAATTACGCGGCCAATTATATCTGCAGATATAAATTAATATGTGATTTACTTGCCCTATTAATCTGATTGTAACAAGCAAAACATGCGTCAGTCTACTTAATCTTACCACAGAATAGAGACAAATGAAGTGCACTGTTACACTCGGTGAATAAATTTGCGTGGACTGTGCAAACGGATGACCCGACCAGGTAGAACAAACCGAGCTACTGTATGTTCCAGAATAATCAAATTCCTGACGTGCTTCCCAGGGATTTCTTGCATGACTGACAGGAGGTGAATCCCACCTCATGCTCTCCGTTCTCAAAACAACAGCAGAAATGACTGACTGAGGTCACTCCTGGTATGGCTTAATAACCCTTGTTTCCTCGAATCCTGGCTCTCATGTCAACCTGGGTAGACAGCAACTTCAACTCATAAGACAAAGTGAACTAATTGAGGTGTATGGGGTGGATAAATTTTAACGACGTCAAATTGTGCAGCAGTTGAGACTAAACCACCGGCAGACCTCATTTCTTCTTTCACCCTCAAATGATATAAATTCAAACCCTTGATAATCCAGGGACAAGTTACCACAGCACGGATACTTATACATGGCATCCCCATTTATACACCTTGCAGGAAGGCAATCGGATGCATTGTTTTTATTACTTACATCATCCATGCTAGCAGAATTAAACAGGTTCCATTTCATCAACAAGATACTTGTCCACTAAATGTACATTCATAGCAGCCATAAGAAAGAAGTAGAATGACAAGCTTGCAAAAGCCGATTGCTTTTCACCCTGGATATAACAGGATCAGTTCCATTTTTCCAAATTTCAGCCCACTCAAAACCATTTGGACAAGGATTACTATTTGCTTCCGAACGATTTCATCACTAAAGACCACAAAACCAGATGGATAGTACTTTGACAAACAAGCCACACTCAGGGACAAATTAACTGCTAAACAGCACGCTATGACAAAGCATATATCCCCAGTGAAACTAGAATCACAGTTGGCACTACCAACCTAGAGACACACCCCAAACATCATTGAACTAATTCCATATGCTTAACCAAACACCTGAGGAAAGAGCAAGATACAAGATCCTCGGTACTTCAACAAGCAACCCACGGTTAGGACTATTCATTACCACACTTCGACATCGCCGCAGAAACTAGGAAAAAAATTTGTACCACCAACCAGAAATTAGACGAAGCTGACTACTAGGTTTCATGTCCTTTCCCTCCTCTTGCAGAATTCATACTTCCATCTATGGCTACATAGCTTACGAGTGCACACACATCACAAAGTCCGCTTCTTGGACAAACCGAATGGACCGTGTGAAACTAACGAAGAGGTCTCAAAATCCATAGCTAGTGCTTCCGGTTTCCAAACATCTAGGAGTATCACCAACGCAGCTAAGAGTTCCTCAAAAGCGAGCATGCGGCAGGAGGATCAACCTTAACAAGCTCATGACAAATAACCATTCACAGGTCTAACTCCCTAAAACCAACCTAGAGTCCTAGACATCAGTTAGATGTATCTGTTGTTCCATACCAAACCTAGCCAAGCAATTTACATTAATTTTCCAGCAAGAAAGTAAAATAATTGCGAAAGTGAAATCGAAATTGAAGGTTGAGCTATGAGGAAAAAGAAAAGGGATGATATAGTGAAAACGTGCCTGGCCTCGCTTGCAGTTGAAATAGGTTTCCCTCAGTCCGACGCATTCACTGGAAACGGAGGGACTCTTCTCTCCGGCACAATCCCTAATGGAACGATTCCCAACTTTAACGCAGTCTGATTCGCTGAGACACTTGACGAGTTCGGTTGCGAGGCCCTTGCAAGACTTCGCCATTCTTTTCCTGTTCTTCCTCCTCCTGAAACTAGTATCGAGACCACCAAAAAATCTAGTGACGAGTTCTACGGAGGCATTTCATGAATGAGAAAACAGAGTCGTAAAGAGAAGAAGAGCTTGAAGCGATTCAGGAAGAGAGGCGATCGTACTTGCCGATGAGAATCTAGAATAGAGCGACGGAATTATTTCCACGAATGTGAGAAGTTAGGGATGCGTAACCATCATACAAGTTGTCAACACGGGGTTACAAGCTGTTGATTTTTTTTTTTTTCAAAATACACTTGTATAGCCAAAATCTGAAACTTTCTAAGGAAGGATTTGATTGAGCAGAAAAGTAAAGGAGGAAGAAGAAGATGGGAATTCCTCAGCTTATCTCGTGCTGGGATTCTTTGATTTATAGCCTTCAAGTTTTACTGTAACTTAACGGTAACAAAGCCAGATGTCAAACTACTATTGTTCTGTAAATAACTAACAACTACTTCAAATACTAAACGCTGCGTTCAGCCACCACGTTTCCAACATGAAACGTTTCTTCTCGAATCAACTTTCAACTCCAACGTTCTTCTTCTGCAACTTCTGCAACCATCAGCTGCTGCTTCCCTCTGGACTTCTGAATCTCTTCTTCTCGTTGATTCAAATCAACTACTCCTTTGAACTTCATCACGCCCCCACAAGTTGGCGCGTATATGTTTAATACGCCCAACTTGTCCAACAAGTAACTCAACCTGTATCGACTTAGGCCCTTAGTAAACAAATCAGCAAGCTGATCTTCACTCCTTACAAATTTCAATTTGATAAGTCCAGACTTGATCCTTTCCCTGGTAACATGAACATCGATCTCGATGTGTTTTGTTCTCTCATGATAGACTGGATTTTCTGCAATTTGTATTGCTGACATATTGTCACAATAAACCAGTACTGGTGCTTGAATCTTCACATCCAGTTCTGCAAGAAGTCCTTTAAGCCACTGTATTTCACACACAAGATGAGCTAAAGCTCTGTACTCAGCTTCAGACGAAGATCTGGACACTGTTGTTTGCTTCTTTGCTCTCCATGTAATCAGAGATCCTCCTAGGAAAGTACAATAACCAGAGATGGATCTCCTTGTGTCAGGACATGCTGCCCAGTCAGCATCACTGTAAGCCCTCAAAACCATATCATTGTTTGATTTAAAATGTAAACCCTGACCTGGTGCTCCCTTTAAATACCTCAAAACTCTGTAAGCAGCTTGTAAATGAGTGTCTCTTGGTTGTATCTGATATTGACACAGCTGCTGTACTGGAAAAGCAATGTCTGGCCTGGTCACTGTCAAATAATGCAATCTGCCCACCAATCTCTTGTACACACTTGGATCTGGTAGCAGTGTTCCTTCTGTTGCACTCAACTTTATCTTGCAATCAAGTGGACTCTTGCTGCTTTTGGCATCCAATAATCCTGTTTCTGCAAGTAAATCCATGCAATACTTCCTTTGTGAGACTGAAATCCCACTAGCATTCCTTGTCACTTCCAATCCCAGGAAGTATTTCAAACTTCCAAGATCCTTGATCTTAAAATCCCTTTTCAGGAACAGTTTAACTGCCTCCAAATCACCTAATCTGGGACCTGCAAGTATTATATCATCAACATAGACTAGGACAATCACAATCCTTCCCTGAACCCATTTAACAAACATGGAATAATCAGATGAAGACTGTGAGAATCCATTCTTCAAGAGAGATCCAGTAAGCTTGGCAAACCATTGCCTACTGGCTTGTTTCAAGCCATATAATGACTTTTTGAGTTTACAAACCATTCCTTCAGAACTTCCATCCACTGGAAAACCTGATGGTAATTGCATATACACATCTTCTTCCAAGTCTCCATGCAGAAATGCATTGGAAACATCTAACTGATGTAAACACCAGTCCTTTGCTGCTGCAACTGCAAGCAGTGTTTTAACTGAATTGTTCTTGGCAACTGGTGAGAAGGTATCCAGAAAATCGATTCCATAAACCTGAGTAAAACCTTTTGCCACTAATCTGGCCTTAAATCTTTCAACACTTCCATCTGGTTTGAGTTTAATTTTGTATACCCATCTACACCCAATTGCCTTCTTTCCTGGAGGTAGCTTAACTAACTCCCAGGTTTGGTTTTCAATAAGTGCAAGCAGTTCTTCCTTCATTGCCAATCTCCAGCACTCTTCTTCATTAGCTTCTTCAAAAGAAGCTGGCTCAACCATTGTCACCATATTAACTGCATATCTTCTCATATCATCAGTTAACATCTTATAGTCAACCACATCTGTGATTGGATACTTGGTGACAATTCCTAGGTAGTAATCTTTTTAGCTGTAGATTAACATTTCTCTGAGGCCTTGTCCTAACTGGTTCTGCCTCATGTTCCTCCAGTTGCTGGAGTTCTGCTTCTTCTCCTTCATTCTCTATACTTACATCAGTCTCACACACAGGAGTATTATCAAATGATGCATCAAATTCATTGCTTGTAGGATGAGAAGAAGAAGAAGAAGAAGGTTGACAGGTAGGACTAATGACATGACCCTGTGTGGAAGGACTATTGACATTACCCTGTAAAGAAGGACTACTGACAGGAATAGGACTACTACCTGAGACTGATGGAAAGACAGGTGATGAATTGGTTTCAACCTGTTCACTATCAACTTCTGAAGTTGAGTTCAGAGTTTTAAATGGAAATATGTCTTCATAGAATATCACATCTCTAGAAACTAGAAAATCATGTGAATTCAGATCAAACAACTTGTAACCTTTAATGCCTGCTGGAAGTCCAAGAAAGATGCATTGCCTAGCTCTTGGATCTAATTTGGTTCTGCTTGGAACAGTGCTAGCAGCATATGCTAAACACCCAAAAACTCTCAAATGACCAAGGAAAGGAGGTTTTTGATATAGTATTTCATATGGAGACTTGTTCTGTAACACTGGAGTAGGAAGTCTGTTGATTATGTAAACAGCATGAATCACACAATCACTCCAGAAATTAAGAGGTACACCTGAATGAAATCTCAGAGCACGTGCCACATTTAAAATGTGTTGATGTTTGCGTTCTACCCTCCCATTTTGTTCAAGTGTATAAGTACAGGAGGTTTGTTGTTCTATGCCCTGATTTAGATAAAAATCACACATGTAAAACTCTTTTCCCTGATCACTCCTCACTGTTTTAACTGTCTTTCCAAATTGGTTATGAACCATTTTACAAAATCCAATCAACAGCCCTCTTGCTTCAGACTTTTGTTTCATTAAGTAAACCCAAACAGCACGAGAATGATCATCAACAATGGTTAGGAAGTAAAAATAACCATCATGAGAATTAACTGACAATGGACCCCAAATGTCAACATGCACCAATACAAAAATGTCTGAAGCCTTAGAGTCACTCAAAGAAAATGGTAATCTCTTTTGCCTGGATAAATGGCAATGCTCACAGTGTTTCACTCTCTCAACAGGAACTGTTGGATTACATTTGTTAAAAAGTAAAGTACTGCTATTACTGGGGTGGCCTAATCTCCAATGCCACAACTCAATCTTGTGGGATTCAAAATTGTAAATGGAAGCAACTTGAGAGATAGTGTTTGGTATGGTAGGCTGGTCTGGTAGGAAATGATATAGGCCTCTATTTTCTTTTGCCAAACCAATCCTCTTGCTGGTCACTAGGTCCTGAACATGACAAAGGTCAGATTGAAATATGAGTGAGATTGGGAGGTCATGTGTGAGCTTACTAACAGAGACAAGGTTGAAGGTGAAACTGGGAACTAGAAGAACATTATGTAAGAATAGATGTGGAGACAATCTAACTGAACCTATGTGTGAAACCTGGACCCTTGCTCTATTAGGAAGATAAACAAAAACTTCAGACATAGGAGAACAGCTATCAAAAAGGGAAATGGAACAAGCAATGTGATCTGATGCACCAGTGTCAAATATCCATGTGTTTTGTAAGGTTTTGTGATTCTTATAAGTTGATAGAACATGCTTACCTCCATAGTTTGGGAATTGAGGCATGTAATTAGTCACTGAATGTGACCTATGGTTGATTGCAGGACTCTGAGGTGAGGTTGGTGAGCTGGAACTTGAAGACTGCAAAAGGCTTCTCAGCTTGTTCATTTCCTCTGCAGTAAAACCACCAGTAGTGTTTGAAAATCTGCTTCCAACCTCAACTTGTAAGTTCCTGTCTCCTTCAATATCTGTATCTTGAGCTACTGCACCAGAAAACCTATTGCTTGATCCTTCTCTGTCCTGTCTCTTCTTCTTAAGTCTCCAACAGTCTTTATCATATGATTTGTCTTCTTGCAGTAGTTGCAAAACAGCTGATCAGTCTCACCACTTCCTTTGTAAGTACCAGTTTCTCCACTTCCTTTGTATGGACTCTTATATGTTGTGCTAGAATTTGTAGATCCAGTTCCACTGTGAGAACTGGCTGCCAGAGCAAATGATTGAGTTGTTGCCTTGTTTCCTGATCCCTTTCCATCTGCCTTAAGTTTCTGTTCATGTTGTAACAAGTCATGAAAAGCTTGCACAACTGTTGGCAAAGGCTTCTGCATCAACTGCTGTGTTCTGATGTAATCATATTCAGGATTCAACCCTCGTAGGAACCGAATTAGGTAGTCTGTGTTCTGCTTCAACTTAAATGCCTCAACAGCAGCACAAGGTAAAGGATTCCCAGGCAAACAACCACAAGGCACAATAGGGTTAAACTGACTATACTCTTCCCAAAGACCCTTCATATGAGTATAGTACTGGGTAATAGTCTGGGTTCCCTGTTTGGTAGCATGAATTTCATCTTCGAGATTAGTAAGTTTCTGTGCATCAGCTTGACCATAACGATCTTTAAGCTCATTCCACAAAGCACGAGCATTATCATGACTGAGAACACTTCTCGCAATGTCTTTCTCTAAAGAATTTGTAATCCAACATAGCACAATCGTATTACAAGCATCCCAGATCTGAAATAGATTGTCATTTCTGTTTGGAGCAACAATCGACCCATCTATAAATCCTAGCTTGTTCTTAGTCTTAAGAACCACCTTCACTGCCTTAGACCAGGTCTGATAATTTGGACCATCTAAAACAATGGGCACTATGGATTGAGCTAAATTCTCATTAGGGTTTATATAGAATGGGTTACCGAAACTCAGATCTGCTGCTCGGTTGTTGTTGCCTTGATTGTTCGACGGTTGACCTTGGAAGGATCCAAAGTTCATCGGCGGAGTGTTGGGTGGAGTGTTGGTGCCTCCACTTGTTGTGCCTGACATGATCCCTTAGATCTGCTCTGATACCATGAAACTTTCTAAGGAAGGGTTTGATTGAGCAGAAAAGTAAAGGAGGAAGAAGAAGATGGGAATTCCTCAGCTTATCTCGTGCTGGGATTTTTTGATTTATAGCCTTCAAGTTTTACTGTAACTTAACGGTAACAAAGCCAGATGTCAAACTACTATTGTACTGTAAATAACTAACAACTACTTCAAATACTAAACGCTGCGTTCAGCCACCACGTTTCCAACATGAAACGTTTCTTCTCGAATCAACTTTCAACTCCAACGTTCTTCTTCTGCAACTTCTGCAACCATCAGCTGCTGCTTCCCTCTAGACTTCTGAATCTCTTCTTCTCGTTGATTCAAATCAACTACTCCTTTGAACTTCATCAAAATCTTGACGGTTTGGTCAAATACAATCACTTTTGACGAAATATAAAAAATAGCCATTTTCATTCAATTCTTTGATGGTGTTAACCAATGCTGACTGGACTAACGAAGTGGCTGAGTTGACGACAATTAATCAATTATACTGTGTATGTGAACAATAAATATAAATTAAATAAATATTTTTCATTTTCTCTCTCCCGTCTCTTTTTTTTTTTTTTTGTAAGATCTCTCTCATCTCTCTTCCTTCCCCTTCCCCTTGCCAAGCGGAATCTCTTGTTCAACAAATCATCTTCTTCAAATCCGAGTTCTTCAAAATCAAGATCAGCAGCTTCAACGACGAGGCAGGGAGGCGAGCATCGAGACAACCCTTGTTTTTGTTTCTCTTTGTTGCGCTCGTGGTTGCTATGCACAGAAACCAGCGCTGCCCTTCTTTATTGTCTTCCTCGTTTCAAGATCCATCGCTAGTGACAGAAGCAAAGAGAAGGATGAGGCAGATAAGGCAACAACGCGACCGCCATAAAAATCGATTTGACTGCATTCTCTTCTTCTTCCTCCATTTTGAATCTAGATCTACTTTCATCCATCAATCGCTTTCTTCTACTTCCCCTATTTGTGTCCTCCCTTCTAGGTTCCCAATCCTTACATGATGCTCGATAAACCCAAATCGTCTACCGTCTTTGATTGAGACCAAATTTGCAACCTGTTGCTGCCGTCGTTGGAGCTTCTCCATTTGCAGATGGTCTATCGTAGGCGGCGAGACAAGGAGTGGATCGAGAATCAGGGCTGGATTTGATTCTGGTTAAAACCTGCAATTACAATGAAAAAGGTTATTAGTTGGGTGGCTGCAAGGATTTGGAGAAACAGAGGATATGATAGACAGGGGAGACTAGCTAAGAAAAAACAAATAAGAAGGAGAAATTAAACCTTAGACTTAATGGTGGTTCCGTCTTTCAAAGGCATAACTATGGCCATTTTTTAAGATAGAAAGAAGAAGAATCGGGGTTGGATTTGATTATGATCTAGGCATTTTTGAAAATAGAAAGAAGATACTGACGAGAGAGAAGGATTTCTAGGAAGAACAAAGGGGAGTCATTATTTCTTGTTCGTTGAATGTTGATGGATACGAGAAAAGCAAAGAACTAGTTATTATTTTTCTTTTTTATGATATTTTATGTAAATTAATAAAAGTTAAATCAAAATGATGTGAAAATGATATTGATGACTTGTCGCTGACGTGTGTGATGATTTGGCATCATAGTCAGCTTAGCGCTAACTTAACTGACGGAGTTTCTAACACCGTTAAAGTTTGTAACGGAAATGGCTATATTTGTCAAGAAACTTTCAAAATTCTGGCTATCTTTGGTGTTTCGCCAAAAGTGGCTATATTTGGCAAAATCATCAAAGTTTTGGGTATACAGATGTATTTTGCCATTTTTTTCCAAAATACAGACGTTTTATGAAATAGGCAAAATTCATCTATGTAGTCAAAACTTTTAGGTTTGTGACAATAATAACTATTTTTGACGAAATACCAAAAATAGTCAGAATTTTGTAAGTTTATGACAAATATGGCCATTTCGGTTACATATTTTAATGACGTCAGTGACACTATTAGCCAAATTAATGGAACGCTTACCTGGCTGCCAACTCACTAGCCACATCATCGACAACTCAACAACACCTGCCACATGTAGGGGTGTACATGGGTCGGTTGGTTCGGGTTTAAGTATTTTAATCACCCGACCCATGCACTACGGTGAATCCGACTTGAACTTTATTTTTTTATATATAATAGGGTGAAGTCTATCATATTCAGGATAAATCTAGTGTACCGTAGATCCTTAGTAATAAGACACTATCTAGACCTCTAGTTCATCAAATTTTAGAGCATAATACTATACTCTGATCTTTAATGAGTGAATCATGTGACATAATTATCGGGTTAATTGCATGGTTGGTCACTAATATTACAAAAAACTTTCATGTTTGGTCACTGGAAATATTTAAATCCAATCTTGGTCACTCAAATTAGTTAAATGGTTCGAGTTTGGTCACTCTCCGTCCAACTCCGTAAATTTGTCTGATGTGATAGTCAACCCTCAAAGTTGACCATTAAGTCAATGACGTGGCAATTAAAAAATAATAAATAAAATAAATTTTAATCTTCTACCATTTCCAACTCATTTTCAAAGTAAAACAAATAAAACAAAAAAATATTATGATTACAAATTGAGCGGCCTGTTCCTCATTTCGATCAGCCCACCGAACGCGGCGACGAACTAGAACCGCTCGATCCCGTTGATCTTCAGCTTCTCGAAATCAACATCATGGGCTTTCAAGAACCGGATAGATTCCTTGGCGTGCAAGTCTCAGTCCAGGTTGAACTGCCAGATCGCGGCGATAGTGCCTTTTTCATTTGAAAGAGTGACGCCCAGTTGAATCAAGTCGGTGTTGTCGACGTTGTGCTTCATATCGACGAATCAAACTTCCTCGGCGGCGTGTCGCGACGTCGGGCGGAGGCAGCCGGGGAATTCCGCGTCGACGAAGACGATTGGGTAGTCGCGGAGTGTGCCTTCCATGGATGAAATTTCAGAAATTTCGTTAAGTCAGTGATCGGGAGGAGGAGGTGTTGGGAATGAATAGCTTTGAAAGCTATATTGAATTAATTATCCAGTATTTTTCTATATACGAAAATAGAAGGATAATTAATAAAAGAAGATTATGGAGATAATTAGAATTAATTATCTTAATATAATATATTTTAATTATGGGAGTAATTATCTCCCTAATTAAAATGTGACTTATTCCCAAAGAAAGAGGGAATATTCTGGGTTTTCTGCTCCTATAAATAGGAGACGCCCCAGACCCTCTAAACACACCTCAGAAGAGCAGAAACACGAGAGAGAGTGAATTTATAGAGCTCCGGTTTTTCGCACAAAACCGATGAGCATCAAAATTCGAATGGCTGTTTTATCCTGGAGGCGACCGGCTGATAGTCTGCTGTGCGCAATACGAGGCAGTGCCGCGAACGTCTTAAAGAGAGCGACCTAGTCCGTGACTCAGCCAGATCGGTAACCCTAAATTTTCTGTTCGGTTTCTAACAATTTTAAGACGTTGTGTTGCTGTTATTATATGTACCGAACAGATTACCGCATCTGGCTCCAATCAAGCGCAAGAAATCACCGATGCCCAAAGCTATTTCGCTAGCCAAAATTACCACCACTGTTGAAATGGCATTGGGAGGGTGATTGAGCACGTCCCTCTTTATTACTCAATTTATTTCTTTTTATTGTTTATCTTGCTGGTGGTGTCTGCGAGAAGAACACAGGGGAATTAGTCGGCTATCATGAAGGTACGAGAGAAGCAGGAATCAATTTCGATGCCAAATAGCCCGTCGCTCGACATTGTCTCTGATCCGAAGAACCCAGTCGGAACTCCGCTGGCCGATAATTGTCAGGACGGGGATTTGTTTAATCGCCGAGCGAGCGAATTCCTGGAGCAGCCCAGATTATTTTATTATATCACCATATTAATGCTCACCAGTTCTTTGGAAAGATGTGTTTCAGTGGAGCCGATTCCCCGGATGCGGAGACGGGAAAGAAAGGCGGTGTTCTGTCCAAGATTTAGGACGAGATGTGCGGTCTTGGGCAAGGACGACATAAAAAAAATTAATTAAAAAAAATGGGAAAAAATTGGACCGGGCAGGCACCAGGCAGCTTCAGGAGGAGTCTCGCAAATTTGAAAAAAAAGGGGGCAACTGGTTCGAGTTCTATAGGAAGTCGAATACTTCTCTCTTAAATATTTAACTCCTCCTCTTCGTCTTTATTTGTTGCTTTATCCGGCTGCTTTGGTGTTGCAATTAATTAGCTTAGGGTATTCCCACGGAGCTAATGGAGTCCAAAGACCAGT